GTCAAAAAGGCTTGTAGAAATGGTATAATTTCTGACAAGTAAGAAAGTGCATGAAGGATGGATAGATGGTGTTGTAGTCGTACATAGAGTGCTGGGGACGAAAAAGAAGCGATACAAGAAAAGAGATCGAGAAGATAAAAATAGTGAGGAATGAGGGAGTTGAACCCCCGGCCGCTGGGACTGGAATCCAGCGCTCTACCACTGAGCTAATTCCCCGTTTTGATACTATTGTATACATTCATGCCGTACCGCACAACGCAAGTACAATATAGACTATTCTACAGCATCCTTACACTACTCTACGCACTATCTACCGACTGCAGCACCCTCCACCATCTATACTCACAGGCCTCGTCACTCATTTTCACGTCGCTGTGGTCGCTTTCCCAATACGCCAAACTCAATATCAAACAGAATTTGACAAACAGAATATTTTACAAATTCTGTATCGACCGATTTCGACACACAATGCGGCGAAATCAACGTAAAATCACCGTCAAAATCATGTTTTTGCTCGAATGACGACAACCTCACTGCATCCAAGTATTTTCACTGGAAACACCAGTCTGCGTGCAGAGGACATTAGCTCGTAAAATCGCTGCGTTCGTGTCAAAAATTAGCGTGCGAAAGCTCCTTCGATGGGCTCGCAATATTTCTAACAATGCTATCTCCTTGCGTGTCAAATATGCAAATACAAAAGCTTGTAAAATAAAATATTGTAAAAGACCAGCGTGCATGAAAAACGCCCATTATTGACAGTAAATTCTATTTAAATATTAAAAGAGACCCGACTGCATGGAAAAAGTACATCTCTATCAGTCTCTTGGATGGCGAGGAGTTGTTTCTATTGTACGAAAAATATTTCGTGAAGAAGCGCGTACAATTGCTCCGATACAAGGGACTGAACTGCGTCAAAAAGGCTTGTAGAAATGGTATAAGTTCTGACAAGTAAGAAAGTGTATGAAGGATGGATATATGGTGTTGTAGTTGTACGTAGAGTACTGGGGACGAAAAAGAAGCGATACAAGAAAAGAGATCGAGAAGATAAAATGTGAGGAATGAGGGAGTT